AAATATTATCAAGTTTTTGGCGTTTATGTTTCACAAACCGTTTTCGTATTTTTTTTGATCTCCTTCCCATTTTTTTTTAAGCAAAGTGGATTTGTGGTGCAAAAAATATCAAAAAATTAAGAATTTAAAAATTTTAGTGTTTGAAAATAACGTAAAAATATTTATTTGAGGTTTAGAATTTTATTGTAAATGGCTTACAAAATTTAAATTTCACGTATCATTTTTATCAACTTTCGTCATTATGCATTTAAACATGACAAGATTTCGCTTTTTTCATAATTTTATGATAAATTTGTCTTCAAGCTTTATCATAGAATCACGAAACAGCTTTGCCATGACATTATTAGATATAAATCTTATGATTTTATATTTCTTTAAGGCAAAAAGACAATAGAGACCCGTCTCCAAGGCGACCCTACATATAGCAGCCAATCATATTTAGGGTTCGAAATTTTCTTTTGTATTTTAACACACTTATACGGCGATCTGATTTTGGTGAAACGTATTTTTTCTTTACCGGTTGCGTTAGATCCATTTTGTGGGTCGTTGATCGATTTGAATAGCAATAAACCGGGGGTTACGAAGATCAGTATGGCATATGGGCGAATCGTGTAATTGGGCCTTAGCTAGAGACACCAAATTTTAAGTTGAACCCCATATTTTCCTATATTTAATTGGTCAAATATACAAAACACTTACTCGATTATACCCTAATAATTTAAAGCTATGCCTTAAATAATTTTAAGGATATAATGGTTATGCATAATCATGCGTCTAACCCAACTGCCTCAGCCCAAAACCCAACTCTTTTCTATTGGTTATAGCTCTACTTGGACATGTCATTTGACGTCTGAGCCCTACTAGAATATATTATTTGACGTCAAGTTTATATTGTATATTGTTAGAGACCAGGGCGGCCCCAAAGTGTGCAGCCACAACCGCAGCTCTAAAGCGTAACTTGTCCTTAAGATGATGTTTGGTTAGTGTTCGAAGACATACATTGGGTGTTAAATTAATATGTCTTCAAGATTAGTTACAGCTTGCCATCAATTGTGTTGCAACTGTGCCATCAGGGCCCTAATTGATTCATATTGTTATCTTTAAAAGAGCGATTTGCGTAGCTTTCCCTATAAAAGAACACCTTTTTTAATTGTTAATAAAAAGAGCAGAAGCTGTCTTTTAACTATGAGTTTACAGTTGTCCACTTCTTCACAAAATTTAATGTCTATTTCTTTGGTCTCTTGCCCAGTTTGTTTTCGAAAGTTTAAATCGAAAAATGGCTATAAACAACATTGTAACACAATTGAAAAGTATAACATGCCACGCAATGATCTTGATGAAATTCCAGTTAAAACATTGCATAAATTTAAGAATATTTTAATTCAGCAAATACATCGTCAATTGTCATTAAGTTTGGCCAAAACGGGAAGAAAGGTACTATCAGTCCCATATACCGAAAGTCAATTTATTGCTGTTTTTAGGGGCCATATTTACCAATTTTCAAATAATCCTCGGGTATATAAATGTAGATTTCATGGTAAGTCCGCATATTCAACTTTAACACAAATTTTGGAAAATCTCAAATGGGGTCAAAAGTGTTACGATCAAAATCAACAAGTGTATATCGGTTTGGAACAATTATCGAGTCATGCTATTAACGAAAATCAAAATAATGATATTGATCCTCTAGAACAGTTGAATAAAAAAAAAAAAAAAACCAAAGTTTTCTCGAGGTGAGCTTTTGGTAGAATGGAAAAAAAAAATAATTAAAGAAATAGATAGACATACTTGTACTGCAGGATTTATGTACTTAAATTTTTATATATCGCAAAGACATGTACTTTCTGTATAAATAATTGTAAATCTTGTACATACGTACGTATGTATGTATAATCTTATACATGTTTATATGCAAGTTTAGTTAATGTTTTCTTTACTACGTATAATTATTAAATCAGGTCGCTCAAGCATTACTTTATGTTTTTTATATATCAAACATAATAAATAATAAATTCTTAAATTTTTAACTGATATAAAAAATAGTTAATGCTCGAAGCTTTTAAAACAAATAATCGATACCTTGATAAGAATGTAGTAATTTCAACTAGGTGTTACCTAGTGCTTCGCTGCCAGTTTAAATTCATGACGCGCCAGATTCGAAGGTACATCAAATTCTAGCAAATTATTAATTCCGCACCTATACCATGATAGTATAATGAAAGAACCTATTAGAGATAAACAAACAAAAGTCCTGACGATAGCAATTAAACTTACCAACTCATAATTCAAATAATTTGAGTAACTCAAATAAATTATTTAATTACATGATACGAGTCGAATCATTACTTAATTACTACCCGATGCTTAAAAAAATATAATGTTAGTAGACGCTGTTAAAGCTTTGCATTAATTCGCATTTCAAAATCAAGCTAAACCTAACTTATTTAAATTAAGAGATCAAAAATTCAGGTCAAGCAACTCATCTATTTTTATTAAAGGTTTCAGAAACTTGCACGAAATTTATTAGACTCTTTAAAATTGGTACTCTATAGATTCTACTCAAGAAGTCAGAACTATACTAAAAGTATAGTTTTGTGATTTTATGCAGGTTTTGCTATTGCAAATTTATAACAGTTTAGAGATTATACATTTTCTATAATAAATTACTTGGATAACTGATAAAAATTTTTTTTAATGGATACAATCTTTATGGCAGCTATTACTGTTACAGTTAAAATAAAAAATTTTTATCATTATCATTCTTATTTTGTACGTATGTACATACATTCAAGCTGTGTCGGAAAAGTTACTGGGTTTATAATTCACCCACTACAAAAATACTAACTGAATTATTCTAATCAGAACACTAAAACTACTCTAACCAAACTCTAATATTGGTAAGGCTTCGATTGAGGCATGAAAAACTTGATCTGAATAATCAGGGCTATTTTGGGTTTATAGCAATAGTGTTGGATCAGATAAGTATCCTCTTGATTTTGTTTGGTGATTTAGTTGCTTTTCTTTTTACTTTACTAATACATTACTTTATTCGTTAGGGGTTACTGCGGCTGTGAATTTGATTTACAATATCACGTGGTCACAGAATCACGATCCAGATCAGTATCGAGGTAATCACAATTTTAATCAATTTTACTTTTAATATATAAGTGGTTTGATTACTAATTGTTACTTTTTCTTTTTCTTATTCAATACGAAATAAAGAATACGATAGTCACAGGGCCAAGAAATGCGACAGACAACAAATGATTTAGAAACCATATTTAAATAACAAACACTTCTATTAAAGTTTTGAACTCTACGAGTTGACTTTATTGAAGGTATATAATAAGCGCTTATATACTGTTTAATATATATAGAATAAATTTATTAAATTTAACTAATTCTTTTTAATTTATTTTCATTTTCTTCAATTTTGTCAGATTTTTCAATTTTACCAATTTATTCGATTTAATAAATTTAAAAAATTGTATATCATTACTAGATGTGATGAATTTGACGCTTACAATATACATAATTAAATTACACAACTTTAATTAATACGAAGTTTTTTAACTTTTTGTCTAGGAAGATCATTATAAGCAAAAAAAAGATTTCATGATTCATATTCTAAAATCTCAATTGTAGCTGCATTTCTCTTAAGAGGATTTCCACCATTCATGGTAGTTTTTCGGAAAAAAAAAGACACATGCATATGATTTTTTTTTCTATCGCGCTATATGAAAATGCTTTTAACCCCCATTGTTTGTGTTTTTGATATAATTCCCATCCATGAAATACCAAAAAATGGATATATGGAGCTACATGACTGAGTAAATAAAGTCCTTTAATAATGTTTTGTGGATTATTCGGATCTTTTTCGTCAGACTTTAAAAAAAGTTTTAGCCATTCAAGTGCTAAATGTTTTATAAATAAAGAATCCCTATCTTGAGAACATATTGCCTTATATAGTTCGATAAACTTGTCCCACAAGAATCGAATTAGTTTAGCTCAGCTTGGACAAAAAAGAGTAGCTAAATTAAAGTATTGCAATACTTTAATTTTATCATTACCAGTCAACGATGTGTATTTCCATGTAGCGGATTCTTCCCAAAAATGAAATTTAATATTGAGCCATTTCATTTCATTTATAATAATTTGGCGGCTGATGTCATTAAATAAATTTCGTTCTTTAATTTCTAATAACATTAGAGTCCAAAGCCGATCTTTAACCTGTAGTAATAAATGCAGCTCGTCAAATACGTAATTCGATAAGGAAATCATATCAAATAATGGTGGTTTGATATGACCGGGTATATTAAGATGATTGTTTTTTAAATCATCTATTGATTTTGTTATTTGCCAGTCTTGTGTTATGTCACCAATTTCACGTTTAGAACAGAGACACCAAGCACAGAAATGATTTGAATTTGCAGTATTTAGTCTAAGACAAATTGCGAGAAATTTCCAGTCACTAGAGAAATATAATTCGAAACACCAAAGAATACCATCAACTTCCAATCTATTAGTTTTAAGATCTCTAAGATCATTAATAAATAGATTTAATATAATTTCAAGAGATTTATATTTTTCAGTTCCCAAATATAAAGCAATAGTATGGTGATAATTGGGTACATGGTGGTGCTGTCGATCATTAAGAATCATAAAGGTAACCATAACGTGTTTAACTTTCCGACCTACATTCTGACTGTCACCAGAAATTCTTAAATGTATTACCGGATTGTGAGGTAATAATAGATTTTCATCTACTAAATAAGGAATTAGATATCTAAGTATTCCTTTACAGTCACATTGCTCGCCAGTACCTACTGAACTTAAAATGTTACTAAAATCTATCTTAGATTCTTCAATAGCTTCTAAATTATCTATTGCTTCCTTATTCATGTTGACAAGTTTAATCAGAATGTCCTTAGTTATTCTTTGGGTTAAATTATTCCGCTCAATTACGATAATATGTTCACGTGGCAAATGATAATTTACTGCAGCTAAATTCTGATAAGCGTCACGAGAAATATAATTCAAATACATTATTTTAATTATGTTTAAAATTTCATTTTGTTTTTATACAAAATCATCTGTTCCGAAACTAAAATAATAATCTTGATTATTAATAGTATACTCGAATGACTTTAATATAATGGAATCTTGTTCATGGTATTTAAATATAGAATTTTGAATAAAATTCTCTCTAATTGTTGTTGCAACATTTTTCGCACGATTATCAAGTGTTGACTCAGAAGATTTATCTGCAGGTTTAATTAAACTTGGTCTAACATTCTTCGTACATTGCCTAATTCGAGATTTTCTAATATCTTTAAGCATCTGAAGTTGCAATCCAAATAGCAATAATCCAGATAATTGACCTGTTTTATTTATAGCCTTTTTATAATTTGTCGCAGCTGTAGTAGGTGATATATATGATTCGACTTCATCTTCAAAAAAGGCGTCAAATCGAATTTGAAATTTTGGTCTTCTATTTTAATATTCTATTTTACACTAAACTGTTTGCCGATTTTCACCACGTTCCCAGCTAGTTTTTACAGAATAATTATCAGGAATTGGACACCTTTTAGGAGGTAAAGTATAATAAAGTTAAGAAGCATCTAGATAAAAACCTTCTGATTCTATGAAATAGTCAAATGATTGTTGTGTAATATTATTTTTTGTTTCCTTATAAGTAATCCAGGATAATTTTCCAGTTCAAAAGTTTTAATTTCAGATTTATTTGGACGATCTATGTAGTTTGACATTATAATATTGATTAAATGATAAGATATAAAAAAAATTGGTTATACGAAAGATTTTATTCGAAAAAACTGGATTGAATTAATCAAGCTATAAGAATTTAAACAAAAAGTTTATTTTCTAAGCAATAATGATACATATTTATATTAAATTTTACATCATATATTTTAATTATAGGCACGATTATAATAAATTATAGATACAATCACTTCATTATGATAAATTAATCATAAACACGATCATTCTAGTATAATAAATCAGCATGATAAATTAAAAAACAAAATGTTATATTTAAACATGTAATCTCAAAGCGACAATCACGATATATACATATATAGTAGGTATTAATATATACACTATCGTTATTATCAGAGCGATCAATCACAATATCGATATCAATTTAGACAATTGCAATTTATGTGCTTTAGAAATTATATAGTTTTGGGTCGAGGCTAAAATGATATAGTAAACAGTAGCTATTTACTGTTCAAATTTTAATAATATGATTCAAGAATCATTTCATATACCTTGATTTAGACTTGTTTGAATTATCCACACTGTCTTGTATAATTATGATCATGCATGATTTTAATAATTGTATATACGTACATACCAAGGCCCTGGATGTTGATAGCAAAAATAGCAATGGTACATACATATTACTGTTATTCCTCAATAAAGTTGTTAACTAATTTTTGATCGAATTTTGCTATACGTATTCTCAATAGTTCTACTGAGGCAAAGTTTGGGTATGTAATTGTATGCATGTTTTTAAATTATAATCAACATTGTTCATATTGCTAATTCTTATAACAAAAAAAATCTCAACAAAAGATATTTTATTATAGATTACGACCTATAGTAAATAGTGATTATTTGATATTGAAACCAGAACTTAACCCACTATATTAATTTGGCAGCCATTTATTGTGCCACTGCTATTGTTTGAAGTGTTTTTTTTGATTTATCGAAGTTATTATACCTAATATATTGCGCATTACTATTTAGCCAATTAAATTCCAATATATTATAGGTTAAGAATGACACTTTTGAATGGCCAGTAAATTAATATAGTGGGTTAAGCCCTAATCAAAACTGAAATCTGAATATATTCTAACAATTAAAAGAAAACTATAGTAGTATCATTATATGTACTTCCATGCATATATACACTTTAACAAAAACATTCGATCATCTCAAAACAAAAGGTATTTTATTTTACAGAAATTGTATAGGTGGTTAAATACTTTTGTTTTCTATATATTTGTGAGAATTCTCAGATTTTGGTAGCAACTAAAATAGTGCTATTTTTAGCAAAATAGCTAGCAACAATTGTCTTGTGCTAAGATGCAAAATTTGCTACTTACTAAACATATAATTATTATCTTTGTTCTTGAACTGATTTATATAAATGAGATGATGACTAGAGAACCCATTGAAATGATAGATAAAGAACTTACAGAAGAAAAATATTGTTATAGAATGAGTTGTAGTATTAGTTTTATTATTAAGTTTATTATTAGTTATTATTAGTTATATTATTA